GATCTAGAACGAACTCTCCAAAAATTCATCTGGAATAAAAAAAGACCCCGAATAGCTGCAGCGATCCTGAGAAAGAACAAAGTAGGTGGGATCTCAATGCCAGATATCAAGCTGTATTACAAAGCCACTGTTCTCAAAACTGCCTGGTACTGGCACAAGAACAGACATATAGGTCAGTGGAATAGAATAGAGAGTCCAGAAATTAGCCCGAACCAATATGCTCAATTAATATTTGACAAAGGAGGAAAGAACATTCAATGGAGCCAAGATAGTCTCTTCAATAAGTGGTGTTGGGAAAATTGGACAGATATATGCAAGAAAATGAAACTAGACCACCAACTTACACCATACACAAGAATAAACTCAAAATGGATAAAGGACTTAAATGTACGACGGGAAACCATAAAAATTCTAGAAGAATTCAAAGGCAACAAAATCTCAGACATATGCCGAAGCAATTTCTTCACTGATACAGCTCCTAGGGCAGTTGAAACTAAAGAGAAAATGAACAAATGGGACTACATCAAAATAAAAAGCTTCTGCACAGCAAAAGAAACCATCAACAAAACAACAAGAAAACCCACTGCGTGGGAAAACATATTTGCCAACGTCATATCTGATAAGGGCCTAATCTCCAAAATTTATAGGGAACTGCACCTTATTTTATACATTACAATCAAAAGAGGAGGTGTATGTGGATTACATGAAATCCCTTGGTGATAGATTAGGGAGGTGGGAGAAAGCAAAGCAGGGGGAGGGGAGGGAGGGAACCTCTGGGATTGGATGAAAAGTGAAATGATAGACATACTTTTTTTACATAGGTGGGTACAGGGTAGTTAATAGTCAATAATGAACATGATAACAATAGCAATGAGGGAATTTAGGGTCTTCGTCCAGGTGCATTGGTTGTGGTCTGAGGGGTCCAGAAAAATGGAGTTACCTTGACATTCCAAAGGTTGTTATCTTAGATGCAAAAGACAATAGACAGACTTAATTAAGGTAAAGATTGACCTTTGTCAGGGAAGATTCTAGCTTAGAACATGACTATCTTCCATAAACTGCTTTTATTTTAAAAGCTTTCATTTCAGACCTCCTTTGTGGTTACTTTAGGTCTCTGAGTTTGCAAAGCCACCACACAGGCCTCCCCTGAGCTAGTCAGGTTAGCATGTGGCCCCTTTTCATCCACAGTTGCTAACCACACAGGCAGGATACAGAGTCCCTGACAGGGAAGCCACCTTGGCTGACCATCACTGTCCCATTGCCCAGACGGGACCCTGGCGGAGGGCATGTGACTATGAGCTGGCCTGCCCCTGGATGTGCTCCCTGGAGCATGTGGATTGAGCACTGGCCTTGCGGAGGGACCCGCAGAGCATGAGGGAGCAGTGATGGTCCTCTGATAAATGGACAAGCTCATCAAAACTTTTAAACATTGGGGCTGCCACTCTGTTTCCATTCGTATGGTAGTTGAAAATGTCTTCTATTTCCATAAAGAACAATCAAAATTGGAGTTACTGGATGCGTTGGTTAATCATTGATTTTTGTGTTATGTGTGTGGTGACAAAGCACAATCTGTCTGAGTGTGCTGTCTGTGGGGGTTAGAGGTACCCACTTGAGATACAAATCAGGTGACCCCACCTGTGGACAGACAGCAGAGCCCGTTCACTCCCAGGTGAGCATCTTGGCTGAGAGAGGGGAGCACCCTCAGCAGGAAGCACTTGTCCACATCACCACACTCCACCGCTCCCCAGGCAGCAGCCACTTACAGCACATTCTAGCATTCTGGTTGTGGGGGAAGGAAGAGGAAATCTTTGCTCATGTTTGCTCATTATCTCCCGGGTCCCCCAGGCCCTGGGAAACTGAGCCGCGGTGCCTACACAGCACAGAGCAGAGCCATCTGGTTTCTCCAGTCCGAGTAGGAGGAAATGGGATATTATGGCTGCTCCGAAGAGTCTGATGTAGGAGCCACTGGTGGCAGGTCGTGGTAGCTGCAGGTGTCCTCCAATGGTGGGTCTATGTGGTGTGGACATGTGCACCCAGAGAGAGGTTTTCCAACCAGGACAGCGTGGGTGGTGCCAGCTGCCAGGCCCAGCCCTGAGCACCATGTCACATGGCTCATGGAGCTTGTTGGAAAGGTGATGGCAGCTTCCCTGGACAGTGAGCTTTGTCTCCAGGAGCAAGTCCCAGAGCTGAAGTTCTCCCACTGCCCACTGCACCTATCAAAGTCTAGCAAGCCCGGGACTCCAGGCAAGGTGGTCAATTCCTGGGTAATTTCCTATCATCTATCTATCTGTCTATCTATTATCTATCTTCAATCTATCATCTTATCTATCTACCTATTGTCTATCTATCTATTTATCTATCATCTATCTATCTCTATCTCCAATAAGAAGCTACTTGTCAACAACAACAATCTAGTAAAGAAGACAAAATTGAACAGTTCCTCATCAGTAGGCCTTTCCCTGGATGTTCCCTCACCTCTAAGAGCTGCTGATGAAATGTGTGGATTCATCACCTGAAAGCTGAAGTTCTTACTTTTCCTATAGTTTGTTGAAAGCACTATAGTCACTGGAAATATATTGGTCCTCACTTTCAGCACCTATCATGGGCTTTGGATTGTTACGGGGGTGGGGGGGGGTGAGAAAGGCGCCATGCCCCTGCACCCTGGTTCTCCGTGGAGAAGGAGAGGGCAGTGTGGTTGAGGACGGGCTCAGGCAGTGGCCAGCAGTGCCAGCGGTGGGCAGTGCAGCGCCCCTGGCACTATGCTCAGCTCCCTATGGCATCGAGTGGGCTGGATGTGCACACACCTGACCTGTAGGTGCCTGGATTTCCTGTTCTTGAAATTGGAATTTCTAATACTGACTCAACAGAGGAACAGTGGAACTCAGTGAGATAGTCCAGGGCCATTGCTTTGGGGAAGAATGGAATTCTGTTATTAATTCTGTATAATAACCTTCCAAGTGGAGACACAGGGAGTGTTTAGACCATATTCCGAAGCCCATAATGAGGGGCATTGTGCCTTCCAGCTTTTCTATTTTGTACTTGGCCCTGCAGTGTGGGTGCAGACCATAGTCCAGGGTCCTCTTTGGAGAGCCCACACAGGGCTGTGGGGGACAGGAGCTGTGGTGTTCTTCAAGCTAGGACTGTTGAGGGAGCAAGCAAATAAAAGACATAAAATAGAGCAAAGCAGCTGAGCTTGTTGGAGGAAACATTTCAAGGTAAACAATCCTGGACTTGGATCACCGTTTGGGGGCCTGGAGTGAGATTTTCATACCCTCCCTCTGAAAGACGGTGTTTGCAATGAAGATGCTGACGGCCCAAGGGCCTCTAGGGCAGTGGTATGTATAGGATCTGCCTGGCCTTGCAGAGTGGCTGCATCAGGGCTCCCGCCGCTACAATTCAGTGGAGTTTTGTCTTCTTAAAATGCTTTAATTTATCAAGATGTTAGCAGTGGCCTCCGTACCCTGGTAGTGACCCTGAATGAGAGCCTCCATGGCTCCGGGCTGAGGGAATCTCCCAACCCAGGCCTGAGGCCAGACTCCACTGCTCTTTCTGGCCTGGCCCCATCAGGCTCCAGCCCACATTCCCCCTCAGCTGAGAACATGGGCGTCCTGCACAGGGTGAAGTCGACAGGCAGGTGCACAGCTGGCGTCCTTGCATTTACCTGCCTGCAAGGGCCTCCTGCCCTTAGGGATTTTCTTGCTGCATTTGCTCTCCCTGCTCCTGCCCAAACCCAGTGCGTCATCCCAGACTGCTCCCGTCTGAACCTCGTGTATCATTCCAGACTCTGCAGGCAAGTATGTGCCAGGCCTGCTCCACCAGGGCTCCCATCCCACACCCTTTCTGTCTGGGGAGGGGAAAACAGACCAGTGGCTCAAGTTCCCTCCTATTTACCTTTGTGCTTCCCAGGGCAGGTCCCAGGGGCTAGCTGGCATTGACTCCGTTTCTTCAGCTACTTCTGAAAAGAGGAGGGAGAAAGAATAGAATTCCAGACGTTTGTCTAGCATGATTTATTTAACTGTTCAGATGGGCCCAGCTCATCCTCACAGTGCGTGTCCTTCCTGGCTACACCAAGCCCATGGGAACCGGCCATCTCTGCTTCAGTCCTGCAGTCGCTGCAAGTTCCCCCTCTAGCATGAACAGAGGGAGAGCCCAGTGCAGCCTCGGGGGAAGCAGCTCCGTTGTACACCTTGGATGAAAAGCTTGCTCCAGGTGGAAGGGCCAGGGGCACACTCTGGCTCCTAGACGATGAACTGACCCTTCATCCAACCGAGGCCCCGCTGGACCCCAACAGGAGAGGGCACCTCTCTCCCAAAGCCCCTCCAGCCTCAGGCACTGCCTGCCTGTGGGGCCTGAAGCCGTGGGGCCCAAGTACCCAGGCTGTCAGGGACTGGAACCCATCCTGCCTTCCTTGATAAGCTCCACGGGGATCAAACTCCCTGTAAAGGCCCCAGAGGTGGGAGAGCAAGGAAGGAGTTGTGCCCTGAGCCCTTGCAGAGTTGCTGGAAAGAATGCAGTTTTAACCCCTCATGAACCAGGTCAGGTCAGCTCAGAGTCAGGCTCCTATTCACCAGCCACACTTTCCTGCCACCTGCAGCCACCACTGGTTAGAAAGTGCCTTCTGGTCACATGCCTTGAATTCTCCTACCAGGGTGACCAGATTTGCAAGGCAGGCCAAGAACCTGTTGCCATGGTTACTGGCAGATAATGGCTAGGCGTTCCTTGCTGCTCTCTCTCTGGTCCCTCAGAAATGGGCAGCCCAGGAACAGGGGCCTCCATTGGGGCAGATGTGGTAGAGCCTTTTCAATAAACTCCTCAGATGGCACTCCAGCCTTCGCTGTGTGTTTGGCTGCACCTCTCATACCTGATGCCCTGTTAGAAAGATCTGGTCAGTCTGAGCACAGTGTCCATTTCTAACTGTGAGTGCAGGCTGGGTGAGCTCGGAAAGCTGGGTGTGGCGTGTGATCCTTGTTTAACGAAGCCCCTCTCCCTCTCTCACTTAGCTCAACGACTCAGCCAAGCAGCTTATTGCAATGGACAAGTTCTGCCCAGCTGCTGTGTCTGGCTGCCATGCCTCGTTGCCCTCTGACCCCGGCGCAGTGGCCAGTGTGGCCCCAGGTCTCACTTTAAGCAGCACAGGGGCAGTCAGTGCCTTTCAGCAGCGTGTGGACGGCAAGAAGAATGCCAAGAAACGCCACTCCTTCACCGCGGTCAGCCTGACACACAGGTCCTCACAGGCTGCCAGCCATAGGCATTCTGTGGAAATCAGTGCTCCAGTGCTGATCAGCTCCAGCGACCCCCGGGCCACGGCCAGGATCCGGGACCTGGCCCATGTGTCCTGCAGTGCTCCCACCCAGGTAACATCCTCGGGGAATGGACAGGGAGGCACTGGGCACCCTTCCTGGGGCTGGGGGCTCCATCCTCAGATCGGAGCTCAGCATCTGTCCCCGGAACTAGCATGGAAGAGGTCAAGGCAGCACCCTTCTCGCTGCCTATTCTCAGGACCTCTGACCATGGTGGGTGTGTCTCCCTGTCACTACCAGGGCAGATATGTGATTGGCATAGCCTTTGAATAACATTATCCTGTCTCAGTTTGCACTCAGTCGATCGGATGGTGTTATGGATGATGTCCTGGTTTAGTGTTGGATGTTTTTAGCATCTCTTTAACACTTGCCAACTCCTTTCCCTTTCAACAAAGAGTGGAACGGCCAGACCTCAGAACTGGATTGAGCACATTGTTTAGTACTTATATCATTACTAGAGGCCCAGTGCACAAATTCGTGCAAGAGTAGGCCTTCCTTCCCCTGGCTGTGGGCACCGGCTGCCCTCTGGCACCCAGGACCCGGGCTTCCCTCCAGCCCCGTCTTCGTCCGAATGATGTCCAGAATGACATCCAGTCTAATTAGCATATTACCCTTTTATTATTATAGACTAGGGGCCCGGTGCACGAAATTCGTGCACTGGGTGGGGGGGGAGTGTCCCTCAGCCCAGCCTGCCCCCTCTCACATACTGGGAGCCCTCAGGCGTTGACCCCCATCACCCTCCAATCGCAGGATCGGCCCCTTGCCCAGGCCTGATGCCTCTGACAGAGGTGTCAGGCCTGGGCAGGGGACCCTCATTTCCCCCCGATCACTGGTTCTTCCCCCTGCCCAGGCCTGATGCCTCTGGCCCAGGTGTCAGGCCTGGGCAGGGGACCCCCAGACCCCTCCGATTGCTGGCTCCGCCCCTGGCCCAGGCCTGATGCCTCTGGCCCAGGATTCAGGCCTGGGCAGGGGACCCCCCTCTCCCCCCGATCACCGGCTCCGCCCTCGCCCAGGCCTGATGCCTCGGCCAGAGGCGTCGACCCCCATCACCCTCCGATTGCCTGATCGGCCCCTTGCCTAGGCCTGACGCCTCCGCCAGAGGTGTCAGGCTTGGACAGGGGACCCCCATCTCCCCCCGATCACTGGCTCTGACCCCCGCCCAGGCCTGATGCCTCTGGCCCAGGAATCATGCCTGGGCAGGGGACCCCCATCTCCCTCTGATCGCTTGCTCCACCCCCCGCCCAAGCCTGACGCCTCTGACCCAGGCTTCAGGCCTGGGCAAGGGGACCCTCATATCCCCCCAATCACCGGCTC